GTGGATCCAAGTAAAATGAAATCCTTGACAACTTCAATTTTTTCTCTGTTTATCATGATGTAGCTTATTGGTCCAGTTGTGAGAATTTTTGTTTTCTTTATGTTAAAGTGTCATCTATACTGAAGGCTGTAGTCTTTGATCTTCATCAGTGAGTGCTTCAAGTCCTCTTTGCTTTCAGCAAGCAAGGCTGTGTCATCTCCATATCACAGGTTGTTAATGAGTCTTCCTCCTATCTGATGCTGTGTTTTACTTCATTTAGTCCAGAATGAAGTTTGCTCAGCATACAGATTGAGTAAGTATGGTGAAAGGATACAACCTTGATGCACACCTTTCCTGATTTTAAACCACACAGTATCCCCTTGTTCTGTTAGAACAACTGCCTCTTGGTCTATGTACAGGTTCCGCATGAGCACAATGAAGTGTTCTGAAATTTCCCATTCTTAGCAATGCTACCCATAATTTGTTATGATCCACACAGTCAAATGCCTTTGCATAGTCAATAAAACAGAGGTAAACATCTTTCTGGTATTCTCTGTTCTCAGCCAAGATCCATCTGACATCTGCATTGATATCCCTCATTCCACATCCTCTTCTGAATCCAGCTTGAATTTCTGGCAGTTCCCTGGTGATGTACTGCTGCCACCACTTTTCAATGATCTTTGGCAAAATTTTACTTGTGTGTGATATTAATGACATTGTTTGATAATTTCTGCCTTCTATTGGATCACCTTTTTTGATCAGGATTAATTCTTCTGTAGAATCTTTGCTCAAAATAATTGGTAATGGTTAGGAACCACTTCTTGATGGGAGGAGCTGCGAAGTATTGTGGCCAGTTTTGCATTCTACCAAGGCAACAAAATGTGACGTTCTTTTTTGGAGAGAGGCATTGTAAATTTCATTAGACTTTCATAATGTTGTCCTAAAAGAACCAATATTTTAAATGATTCACTACTGAACAAGAAAATGTTTGGAGGGCTTGATTGATGGATACACCTGTCTAGAAGACTGTGTGGTGTGGGGCAATGGGATTCTTGATTATTCCTGTTGAAGGTTATACATTGCATCAAGGCATTAGGATAATCCTCTCTGACTTTGACGGCAACACCAAGCCTGAAAAATAGGAACGAAAGTTGTCTACTGTATTAGTTAGCTTCTGTTGAGTAAAAAACCACCCCAAAGTTTAGTGTTTTAAAACAACAACCATTTATTGGGCTTATGTTTATTTGGCTCAATATTAGGCTGATCTCAGCTGGGCTCTCATGTGTCTGCAGTCAGCACAGGTCAGCTAGGTGGCTCTGATTGTAGGGTTGACTGGGTGTTGGAATGAGGGTTACTGGGCCAGTTGTCTCTCACCGTCTGATAAACTAGCTTGGGCTTGTTCACAGGTGCTAGCAGGGTTTCAAGAGAATGAATGGAAGCACAAAGATTTCTTAAGACCTAGGCTTGTTTCTGTTGGTCAAAACAAGTCACAAGCCCAGCAAATTAACACGAAGGGGATATAGACTCCAACTCTTAATGAGAGAAACTACAAAGTCATATTATAAAGGGAAAGGGTAGAGAACTGTGACCATTCTCAGAATCTACCGTTTTTCTCTCTGGCCACAATTATTCACTTTCCCCCTATGTGCAAAATATGTATATATTTAGGACCCCCGAAATGCCCAACCGTTTATATAGCTCATACTTCTGTGTGTTATTCTAGTCGGCAGGCCTCAGCTGGGAGTATTTCTGATTTTACCTGGGTTCCCTCATGGATCTGGTCATATAGTTGGCTCTGATTCTAGTGGTTGGACGGCCACATCTCTCTCATCATCCAACAGGCTAGTCCAGGCTTGTTCATGTGGTGACATCAGAGTTCCACAGGAGGGATTAGAAGCATGCAAGGCTCAGGTCGGGTATGGAGCCACTTCAGCCACCTTCTAGTGGCCCAAACAATCTCAAGGCCAGTCCATTCTCAAGCGGTGGGGAGGTAGACTTCAACTTTTGAGTGTGAAACTACAAAGGCATCGATACAGGGACGAGGGAGAGTTGTGGCCATTTTTGAAATCTTCCATACCCATTCTCTACAAGTAATTCCTTGTCACATTTCACACTTAGTTAAATACTGTCTTTCTTCACTTATATACCTCTTATTGATGGTAATACAGTGTATGTGCAATATGTGACCCAAATAGTAGCATAAAACCACACTTGGATTTAAGACAATTCACAACCCTTTTACCATTAATTGATGGTACCCACTTTACTACTGATTTTTACATTCATATAAATATTTTAAAGGTATAAACAATTATATTGATGTGCTTTCCTAAAGAAAGTGATTTAATAGATTTTCTTCTTCCAATCCATTCTCCTTGTTCTCTAATCCAGCATACACTGGTGCCAGAGTTGCTTTTCTAAAAGGTTTCTGACTGCATCACATTGCATAAAAATCTTTAGGGACGTCTCAATCATACTCTTTAGCTTGGCATTCAGGAATCTGTGTGATCTGTCTCCTGCCTACCTTTCAGATTTAATTTTCCTTTATTTCCCCTTGAGCACTATTGATTGCATTTAAACCAAATTCCTTGCTGTTTCTTGAGTACATTTGGCCTATACCAGTGGTTCTCAGCCAGAAATGCTTTTGTCCCCCAGGAGACATTTGGTAATGTCCGAAGACATTTTTGGTTGTCACAACTGGGGGTGATGGTGGTGCTACTGACGTTTAATGCGTAGAGGCCAGAGGTGCTGCTAAACATCCTAAAACGCACAGGAGAGACTCTCACAACAAAGATTCATAGTCCAAGTGTTAGTAGGACCGAAGCTGAGAAACCCTGCCCTACACATTTTACCTCTGGGTCTTTGTTTCATCCTGGAAGGTCTTTCCTTCAGAGCTGCCTGTTGAAATGCCCCCTATTTTTAAAAAGCTAGCTCAAATGCCACGTCTTCTAGGAAACAGGTCCTTGGATGATCCCCACCCCTACCCCCACGCTGTGAGCTTTTGGAATCCTTTCTATGCATCACTGAAGTACCTACCACTTAGTATGTTTATAATAATTTCAGTATTTACAGTAACTTAGTACTATTATTTTTATTATTTTCTTTTATTGTTCCTCTCTTGTCTTTTAGTTGAGTGTTTAGTTATTAACTCTTGCTGGACTGTGTGCTTCTAGATGGCAAGGATCCTATCTTATTTTTCTGTGTTACTAGTAGAGCACCTACCACATGCCTTACACACAGTAGGTGCATAATAAATATCTGTTGAGTGAGAAGTGTATGTTTTCCCCTGTTCTTAAATATACTTACTCCTCCCAACAATTATCTTTTCTTAAAGGATTTAGTCCAAAAAAAAAAAAAAAAAATGCAACAAGTAAAATCTTTTTTTAAAAAAATATTTTAAGTAAACAACTGTGATAAGAAATAATTGTACAGTGCAATTGCTTGTTTTATTTTTGCAGCTCTTTAGTGAAAAAATAAGTGGTGTTGAAGGAACAAAACTAGATGATGAATTTCTTGACATGGCAAAGGTAAGAGAATATATATATTTTTTATTTCTTTCTTTAAATTGTGCTTTAGATGAAGGTTTACAGAGCAAATTAGCTTCTCATTAAACAATTAATACACATATTGTTTTGTAACATTGGTTGCCAACCCCATGTCATGTCAACACTATCCCCTTCGCAGCCTTGAGGTCCCCATTACCAATTTTCCTGTTCCCTCCTGCCTTCTAGTCCTTGCCCCTGGGCTGATGTGCCCATTAAGTCTACTTTTGTTTTATGGGAGTGTCTAATCTTTGGCCACACCTCAGGAGTGACTTCAGTACTGAGTTAAAAGGGTGTCTAGGGGCCATACTCTCAGGGTTACTCCAGTCTCTGTCAGACCAGTAAGTCTGGTCTTTTTTTTGTGAGTTAGAATTTTGGTCTACTTTTTTCTCCAGCTCTGTCTGGGACTCTCTATTGTGATCCCTGCCAGAGCAGCCAGTGGTGGTAGCAGGACACCATCTAGTTGTGCTGGACTCAGTCTGGTGGGGGCTGTGGTAGTTGTGGTCCATTAGTCTTTCGAACTAATCTTTCCCTTGTGTCTTTGGTTTTCTTCATTCTCCCTTGCTCCAGATGAGTTGGGACCAGTGGAGTATCTTAGATGGCCACTCACAAGCTTTTAAGACCCCAGACGCTACTCACCAAAGTAGGATGTAGAACATTTTCTTCATAAACTATGTTATGCTGATTGAGCTAGATGTCCCCTGGGACCATGGTCCCCATCCCTCAGCCTAGTAGTTCGATCTCTGAGAGAGTTTGGATGTGTCTATGAAGCTTCCATGACTTTGCCTTGGTCAAGCTGTGCTGACTACCCAGTAGAGGATATTTTAATATGTAAATTTTATTACAAATTAACTTTTGTGGTAAAGTGAGCTATACTCATACAGTAAAGTACATTAAAGTGAGAATCTAGGATGTTTAAACACAAGCATGAATATGGAATTCAAAAGGCAGTTCTTTCACAATTCCAAGCTGAAATAAAACCCTCAAACGTAATTCTACATCCAGTCTAGGCAGGTTCGTGGAGATGGGAAGTGGCTATCTTGGACCCTACTGCCCTCCAGTGGAAAGAAGCTGAAATGCTCAAAAGATGGGCAATTTTAGTTGCTGCAAGGAAAAGGCCATAGTATTTTTTGGTTATGTGTCTCAGAGAACCAAGATATATTTCTGGGACAAGACCTTTCAAAGTTAAAAGATTGACTCATTGTGTGGAATATTCTGAGTCTGTTCCCCATGTGTTGGCAGAAGTGCAAGACAAATAACTTTTATCCTGGTTCTCCTGCTAGAACTAGCAGTGTGAATCAAAGCATTTAGAAAAATATGACGAACTTGATACAGAAATGATTGCAACATCCTCCAAAGAATGTTTCCTGGTCAGCTGTATGGATTAGCTTAGGTGGAGGCAGAACTGGGACCACCAATATTTACCAACTTCCTCAGTTACCTTTCCCTGTGTTTTGGACCCTTTAAACATAGGCTTACTTTAATAATTAGACACTACAGACGAGAGAGGGAGGAGATAAAGCAAAGCATCTGCCCTCAGGTTTAACATTGAGGCCACATTATATAGCAGAGATATCAGCAGATGCTGAGGGAGGAAGTTGAGCTCCAGGCTGTGGCTTGGGGAGTGCTCTCTCCAGGATACACTTGGCCCTGGCCAGCCTGTTCTCCCTGTCTTCTGAATGAGAGCTGTTACATTTCTAGAAATGTTAATGCCTTGCGGGGAAAAGATTACTTTGTTTTTGCTTTTTAAAAAAGCTAATTCTGAAAATTGAAGAACATAAAAACATTTTAACATCATTTACATTCCTGAAATTACTTTTTAAAATCTCTTGATGTCTCAAGATACTATGTTGAATTTATTACTCATAAAATGATTCCATTAAAATGTTAACTTTAAAAGCACATTTCAGGAGTTTTAGTTTCATTTGATGAACTGAGACCCTTCCTGTTTACCTTCTCTTCAAATCCCAGTGGATAACCAGAGAAATATAAAAATAAAATCTATTGATAAAACTGCAGTGAAAATCATGGAAATATATAATTTGTGCATCAGAAGGCTTAAGGACTTTATGGAAGGAGATAAATTAGATGAGATCTGACCCATCTAAAACATGACACAGAAATGACAAAATGATGGAGAAAGACATTCCATGGCAAATATTCACCATACAAAAGTGGAGGAGCAAGTAAAATTTGATGCAAAAAACGACAGAATGGAAAAGGAGATTTCAAAAAAATATATAAAATACGCATTTTATATATTTATATATAAAAATATATTTTATCTATTTATATATCTATTTATATTATTATTTATATATAAAATATATAAAAGGATGCAATCATATAGTCTATTAGACCATTTTAACAGTTATGAATCACTATGCACCACATAATATAGCATCTAAATATGTAAGGTAAAAGCTGTCAGAAATGCATGGAGAATTGACAAAAACCAGAACAGAAGATTTCATATACCTCTCATAAAAGAATAATTAATTTGATAAACACTAGATAAACTCATGGAGGATTTGCATCAATATGATTAATAACTTTGACTATAAATAAGTGTAGACATCTGCATTCCCCAAATAGAGAATGCACATTCTTTTCAAATACTTTCGGAACAATTACCATCACGAATCATGTACTAGGCCACAGGAAAAAAACTCATTAAATTTCCAAAAGTAAAATCATAGAGGTCAGATCCTGTGATCACAGGGAAGGTATAACTTCCAATTCTGGGTGTTTGGAAATTTAAAAGCATGTAAAAATGATTCTTAGTTAAAAAAAAAATGAAAAATAAAGTTACAGCTTATTTAGTCATGAATGACAGAATCTACATATCAAAACTTATGATATATGGTTAATCTTATATACATTTAATAGAAAATAAACATTGGGAGAAATCAAGTCATTCAAGCCAAGAAGCTAGGAAAATGACAGCAAACAAAGTAATGCTAAGCAGAATGGGGAAATCAATACAGATAAAAGGAGAGATTAGTGAAATAGAAAGTGATAACAAAAAGGTAGAATCAATAAATGAACCCAAGAGCTGTTATTTTTGAAAAGCCATAAAATTATAAACCTCTTCCAAGACTGACCAAGAGAAAGGAGAAAAACATTAGTAAATTACATAAGGAAGAGAATATAACTACAAAGTCATATTCTTCTTCTGCTCATCCCCTCTTTCTTCACCTCTTCCTCTTCTTCCTACTCCTCCTTCTTCCAATAAGCAAACATCAGAAACCAGGAGTGCTAGCATCTCTCTAACACAGGGCTGAGGCCTGCTTGCTCTCCTATGAGGGCCAGTAGCACAGGCCTCCAGACACCCCATGGGCAGGGTGCCAACATTAGGAGTAAATTCCAGATTTAATCAACTGGCAAAGATGCAATGCCTTCACACCAGGTAGACTTTACAAAAGTGATTTTCATTTCTCTATGTTCCCTGTTGTTCCTGATTATTTGCTAAGCTATTCCCATGGCATTTTTGTAACCTAAACACACACACACAGGCACACACATGCATGCCCGCACGCACATGCACAAACACACATCACAGTATCCCCTTTTATTCTAGGAGAGAGGTTTTCTTTTTTTTTTATTGTACTTAAGGTGAAGACTTACAGAACAAATAATTTCACATGAAACAGTAGTACACATACTGTTTTATGACATTGGTTAACAACCCCACAACATGTCAACCCTCTCCCTTCTCGACCATTTTTTTTTTTGATGAAAATATACATAGCCAAAGATACACCATTTCAAAAATTTCTACATGCACAGTTCAGTGACATCGACTACGCTCTTTCAATTGTGCTGCTATTCTCACTTTAGATGAAGGCTTACAGAACAAAATAGTTTCTCATTTAATAGTACACATGTTGCCCTATGACAATGGTTAACAACCTCACAACACATCAACACTATCCTTACTCAACCTTGGGTTCCCTATCACCAGCTTTCCTGTCCCCTTCTGCCTTCTGGCCCTTGTCCCTAGACTGCTGTGCCTCATTAGTCCCATTTGGTTTTATGGAGCTGTCCACTCACAGGCTGAACGGTGAACCTCAGAAATGACTTCACCACTGAGCTAAAAGGGTGTCCGGGGGCCATACTCTCGGGGTTTCTCCAGTCTTCTTTAGGCCAGTAAATCTGGTCTTTTTTTGTGAGTTAGAATTTTGTTCTACATCCTTCTCCAGCTCTGTCCAGAACCCTCTGTTGTGATCCTGGTCAAAGCAGTCAGTGGTGGTAGCCGGGCACCATCTAGCTGTACTGGACTCAGTCTGGCGGAGGCCTTGGTAGCTGTGGTCCATTAGTCCTTTGGACTAATCTTTTCCTTGTATCCTGTTCTCTTCATTCTCCCTTGCTCCTGAAGGGAAGAGACCATTGGAGTATCTTAGATGGCTGCTCACAGGCTTTTAAGACCCCAGACGCTACTCACCAAGGTAGAATGTAGAGCATTGTCTTTATAAACTGTGTTATGCCAGTTGAGCTAGATGTTCCCCAAGACCATGGTCCCCACAGCCTCTAGGAGGGAGGTTTTGTTACTGTTTTAAAACTGCATCAGTTATTATTGTTATTGTTATTATTTTTTGGTTTAAAACAACACTTATTTATTACATCACATTTTCCATGGGTCAGAAATCCAAGCACGGTCCTCTGCTCAGAGTCTCACAAGGATGCAGTCAGGGTATTGAGGCTGTATTCTCATCTGGAGCTCAGTGTCCTCGTCAAAGCTCATTCAGATTGTTGTTGGAATCTGTTCCCTTTGGTTGTAAAACCGAGGCACTAAGCTCCTCTCCAGAAGTAGTTCCCAGCATGGCGGCCTGCTTCTTCAAGGCCAGCAGGAGATCGTGTTTCCTGCTTTGAATCACTTCTTTCAGGGAAGACCTGAATTCTCTCTCTTTTTAAAATTAAATATGCTTTATTTTTTAGACTAGTCTTAGGTTTATAGAAAAACTGCACAGATAGTTTCTCCTGTTAACATCTTGCATTCTTGTGGTACATTTGTTACAATTGATGAACTAATAATGATACATTGTGATTGACTAGTGTTCATAGCTCACACTAGGCTTCACACTTTGTGTTGTACCGTCCTATGGGTTTTCAAAAATATATAATGGCATGTGTCCACCATTACAGTACCATACAGAATAGTTTCACGGCCCTAAAAATGCCCTGTGCCCTCCCTATTCACCTCTCCCCCTCCCCCGGCAACCAAGGATCTTTTCACCGTCTCTGTGTTGTTGTTGTTAGGTGCCGTGGAATCAATTCTGACTCATAGTGACCCCATGACAGAGCAGAACTCCCATAGGGTTTCCTAGGCTGTAATCTTTACGTTGACTTTTTGTTGTTGTTGAGAATATGCACAGCAAAACATATACCAATTCAACAGTTTCTACATATACAACTTAGTGATGTTGATTACATTCTTCGAGTTGTGCAACCACTCTCACCCTTCTTTTCTGAGTTGTTCTGCCCTCATTAAAATAAACTCACTGCCCACTAAGGTTCTTGTCTAATCTTTCAAGTTGCTGTTAATTTGATCCCATATAGATAGTTTTAAAAAGAGCATAATGCTCAAAGCAGACCCTTTTTTACTAGTTAAGCGGAACTATTGTTTGGTTTTAAGAAGACTTCAGGGGATGTTTTTGGTTTAAGGTTTAAAGATTATCTCAGGGCAATAGTTTCAGGTGTTCCTCCACCCTCCATGGCTCCATAAAGTTTGAAGTCCATGAGAATTTGAAATTCTGTTCTGCATTTCCCCCGTTTTGATCAAGATTCTTCTATGGAATGCATCAGTTATTTTTCAGCTTTTCATATTGACTGCCCATATTTGCCAACACATTTAGAGGACAGCCTATAAGATTTATAAAAGATTTATTTCCAGTTTTGATGCCTGGGCTGGCCTGGAAGCAGCTCCAATGCATACCTGCCAAGGTCTGTGTGGCACTTGTGAGTCTTTGGGCCATTTATTTCTTGGTGTCCATCAAGCCAGTAACAAACAGTGGCAGCATGTAGAGCCACCATTAGCCAGCATTTCATACATAACAGAGACAATGCCTTTTGAATTAATTTTTATATTGGAAAGGAAAGCTTAACCCATTCCAACTTTTTTTCAAATGGTATTTAAAAAACAACCTGTTGCTGTCAAGTCGATTCCAACCCATAGCAACCCTAGACGGATCTAACTAAGAAAATGTCTCCTCCTCTAACTCCTGTCATTGTCACCCTTCAGAGATGCCTCGTAGCTTCCTGGTGGCTTTTCATACCCAAGGAGGGTTTTATATATGGAAACCCTTCAAGTTACGTTTTAATTTATATTGAATTTGTTAAGCTTATAAATCCAAAACCTTATTTTTCCTCAGCTTTAAGCTGAACCTATGAATCTTATTTGTAAATTCAGTAATTTCTGTATAAGCATGATAATAATCATAAAAATCATTTTTATCATTTAAAAAAACCAAAAAACCCATCGCCATCAAGTCGATTCCAACTCACAGTGACCTGATACGACAGAGTAGAACTGCCCCATAGAATTTCCAAGGAGTGCCTGGTGGATTCGAACTGCCGACCTTATGGTTAGTAGCCGTAGCACTTAACCACTATGCCACCAGGGTTTCCATTTTTATCATTAGGTTTCATTAACTCATAAGTTTAATATATTAAACCCTTAAACATTTAATGCCACTTACATAATTAAGCAAATCTCTTTAGACATTTCAAAATACAATTACGAACGCAGTGCTTCAGTTTCTGTCAAACTTCACCTCAATACCATTGAGACAGACATATAAATTGAAAACACAGTTTTCCTAAGTACTTAAACTTTTTGTAATTCTAATAAAGCATGTATATTTAGGAAATTAAATTCTCTTAAACATTTCAAATATCTTCATAAATAACTGAACATACCAAAAAGAGCTCAAAGTTTCAAAACTTGTTACTAGGCCAAATGCACACACACACACGTACACATACAATTAACACACATGCATCAGTAGTATAAGTTTAATTCATTTCTGTTTTTTATTGTAGTAATATATATACAACAAAATATTTGCCATTTCAACTATTTTTAAGTGTACAATTCAGTGACATTAATTACATTCACCATGTTGTACAATCATCACCACTAATAATTTCCAAATGCTTTTTATCACCCTAAACAGAAACACTGTACCCCTTAAAAAACAGAAACTCCCTATTTCCCCCTCCTATAGGGTTGCTATGAGTTGGAATCAACTTGACGGCAACAGGTTTGGTTTTTGGTTTTTGGACCAGCCCCTGGCAACCACTGATGAACTTTTGTCTATTCTAGATATCTCATATGAGTGGGACCAAGCAATATTTATCATTTAGTGACTAACTTATTTCATTCAGCATAATGGTTTCAGGGTTCATCCGTGTTGTGGCGTGTATCAGCACCTCATTACTCTTTATGGCTAAATAATATTCCATTGCATGGATAGACCACAGTTTGTTTCTCCATTCCTCTGTTGATGGACAAAATCGGGCATGTCTTTATTTCTACACTGACTTTTTAAACCTTCCTGGGGCCCTAAATGTAGGCATTCATCTAAGAGAAACAGTTACCATTTCAGGCTCGATGAGAGTGCTTGGTTGAAAACTCCTGATCCTGACCTGGGCCACGAGACAAAGAAATTCAGATATTTTTATTAAAATTACAAAAATGACATTTTTCTGTATAAACCGCTCGGCAGTTTTCTCTTTTCCTTAGCAATGAATGTCCTGTGGACATCATCCCAATACATACAGATCTACCTATTTTTTTCTCATGACTGAAGAGTATTCTTTATTTGGATGTTTCACAATTTATCCAGTCAGTCTCCTGTTGATTATAATTCAGGCTGTTTTAAATTCTACATAAAATGCTCCAAAGAATGTCTTTTTATACCACTGCAATTTGCTGGTATGAATCTATATGATAAATCCCTAGAAGTATCAGAGTTGGCTCGAAATGTATTCCCCTTTATAGGTGGTTCCACCTCAGTCTCCAAAAGATTGTATCATTTTACATCTCCATTGTATATGAAAGGGCCCGTCCCTCCAACTCTTATAAAACCTAATATCGGGCATAATCAGTGTTTTAAAATTTTTATGTCGGTCTGGTGAGTGGGAATTCTCTTTTTAATTGACAGTTCTTTTGGATATTTTAACAGACGTTTATAGGCAAGTTGGGTTTTTTATCTTTTTTGGATTATCGATTTCTGCCCTTCCCTTCTGTCTTTTTTTAGTTGTCTTTTTCTTTTTTATTTACGGGGGTTCTCAGTGTTAGGAATATTAACTTTTTGTCTTTTACAAATTTTTCCTCCTGTCTGTCACTTTTGTTAAACTTTGTGTATTGTGTCTTTCCCAGTTCAGTTTTTAATTTTTATGGAGTCAGATTTATTGCTCTTTTCCTTTATGACATTTGGGTATGAACTCATACTTGGAGAGCTCCTTTCTGCCCCAGTATTTGACAATATTCTCCCCTATAATTCAGGTACTTTTATAATTTGTTTTTAGGTCCATATTTTTATCCTGTATGTAGTATGAAATATGAATTAACAATTGTCGAAATATTAACGAAAAAGAAAAAATTCAAATTGTGTTGATATTTGAATTAATTTTACATATTAATTTGGCAAGGACTTACATGTTTCCAAAACTCAGTTTTCCTACTCTGGAAAATGGTGTTTCATATAAGTATTGTGTATTTCTTGTAGTATTTATTCCTTGCTATTGCATATATTTTATTGCTCTTATGAACAGGCTCTCTTTTTTCTTTACATTTTCTTACAGGCTTTTAATGGTATATAATAAAGGCATTGACATTTGCATTTTTAACTTTATTGAATATTTTCATATGGATTCTCTGGTTAACAAACAGAAAATCCAGGAGTGGTTTTGCAGTAGGAAAGATTCAGTCTTAACCTGTCAGGGAAACCTTAATGTTAACTTCTTCTGAACACAGCACAAAGGAACATGTTTATTTTATAATGGTAATGGTGATGATTCTTTTGTTGCACATTTACTGAAGTAGTTTCTAATATGGATCATTATTATGGCAACCTCATAGAAGTACGTAAATTCAAGTTCACCCAGCAAGTAAGGAAAGTTTGGCTCAGTAATGCCTAATCTTGGTTCTGAGAGACCTTCAGGTATATCCAATAATCTCGGGGAGCTTAATAACTTTCCCAAGTTCTCTAAATACATATTAATATTCATTTTTGTGTTAAAAAGAAATTACTGTTGTCCAGCATCATTGGGAGGAGATGATGTCACAAAATTTACAGAGAATATTGCCTCACTCAAAAACCTTGAAAGTATTCATTTATATTAAAACCATCATAATAGTTTTTTAAATATTAAATTGATGAAAATTACTGCTCTATTTTTCTTTGTCATTTACTAACATTTTCATGTTTTTTTGTTGTTTTTTAAGAAAATAGATATTACCAATAAAGCTGTTGCAGAAATTCTTTCAAAAGCTACAGAATATCTTCAGCCAAATCCAGGTAACGTTAGAAAATGTCTTGAAATAGTCTATTTTTCATTCTTTCGCTGTCACACACTCTACTAACCTATGTTTACTTGGTGGCACAGTGGTTAAACGCTAGGCTGCTAACCGAAAGTTCAGCAGTATGAACCCACTAGACACTCCACAGGAGAAAGATGTGGCAGTCTGCTTCAGTAAAGATTTATAGCCCTGGAAACCCTGTGCGGCAGCTCTACTCTGTCCTATAGGGCCACCATGAGTCAGAATTGACTCATTGTCAATGGCCTTTTTTTTTGTAACTTGCCACATGATTGACACAATCTAGAACAGTGTCTTCTGTGTCCATCCAAGTAATGAAATTCAGTGTTTTAAAGCTGAGTCTTCAGTGATTCCTAGCTTATAAGAAACAGAGCAGATACCCTGGGGAACCATGGCAGCATCGTTTGGATGGAGTCTTGGTCCTAAAATCAAGACATCACTAAGCAAAGATACTTTTCATGAGATGTTTCAGAAACTCACTAAAACTTTCTGTCAACGTTTTCTTAGCCCTCTGCCATCCTGTTCTGAAGGCATATACCAATTTGAAAGGGCTTTCACTTCATGGCTCAGATGCTGAAAAAATGAGGATGATGAATATGAAAAAACGGCATGAGAAAGTCCAGTGTTGCATAAGCTTCTCATCAGGAGCTCTTTAGTTCCTGTGTCCCCAAGCAGCATCCGTGATGAGGTTTCGCTGGGTTGTAAATTATAAAAACCAATAGAGGGCGCCCCAGGCCTTCAGTTCTGTGGATTTCCAAAGCTGCCTTTACTTTTTAGGAATTTATTATTTACATACGAAAAAAACAGTTGCTCTGGAGTAGACTCATGGTGACCCCACCCTAGCTGCCTATAAACCCCAAAAACCAAACCTGTTGCTGTTGAGTCAATTTTAACTCATAGTGACCCTATAGGACAGAGTAGAACTGCCCCACAATGTTTCCAAGGCTGTAATTTTTACAAAGGGGACTGCCATATCTTTCCACTATGGAGCAGCAATTTTCCCATAGCTCTCTCCCATTTCGTTCTGTATTAATTTCTTCTTAGGTTGAACAGCCTACTCCTTGTGCACCAATTACATCGTGAGTATTCCCACTTCTACACTTTTACTCACACCATTTCTGCCCTTTTAGGGGCATCTTTCCATCTTTTTTCTGTATCGTGCTATCTTCTCCTTTCCCTACTCCACTCCAAACTGCATTTTCACAATTACATCACGTGCATTCTGTCTTTCCAATAACTAGACTGAGCTCCTTGAGAGTAGGTTTCTCTGCATTCCCGGTAACTGGGGATGAGTAAAAACTTGTAAAAATAAGTAAATATACTTCATACTTACTTTGAAGTCCCTGGGTAACGTAAAATTAACACTCTAGGCTGCTAACCAAAAGGTTGGAAGTTCGAATCCACCCAGAGGGGCCTCTGAATAAAGGCCTGGCAAGCTACTTCTGAAAGATCAGCTTTTGAAAACCCTACAGAGCAGTTCTACTCTGACACATATGGGGTTGCCATGAGTTGGACTTGACAGCAATTGGTATATTTAGCCCTGGTGGTGCAATGGTTAAGTACCTGGCTGCTAACTGAAAGGTTGGCTGTTCAAACCCACCCAGTGGCTCTGTGGGAGAAAAGATGCGGTGATCTGCTCCCATAAAGATTACAGCCTAGGATACCCTACGGGGCAGTTCTGCTCTGTCCTATAGAGTTACTATAAGTCAGAGTCGACTCAACAGCAATTGGTATATTTAGCCCTGGTGGCGCAGTGGTTAAGCACTCAGCTGCTAACTGAAAGGTCAGCAGTTTTAACCCACGAGCCACTCCATGGGAGAAAGCTGTGGCAGTCTACTTCTGTAAAGATTTATAGCCTTGGAAACCTTATGGGGCAGTTCTACTCTGTCCTATAGGGTTGCTTTAAGTTGGAATCGACTCGATGGCCTACAACAATAAAATAAACACTTACATTGCCTAAATTAGAGAAAAGAAGGTGTCTTAGTCATTCTCTCACAGTTTAGGAGGCTAGGAGTGCAAATTCAGGGCGCCAGCTCCAGGGGAAGGCTTTCTGCCTTTATCAGTTCTGGGGGAAGGTCCTTGTCATCAATCTTCCCCTGTCTAGAAGCTTCTCAGTGCAGGGACCCTGAGTGCAACGGACGTGCTCTGCTCCTGGCTCTTCTTGCTTGTTGGTAATGAGGTCCCTCTCCTCTCTGCTGACTTTTCTCTTTTATATCTCAAAAGAGATTGACTCAAGATACAATCTAATCCTGTAGATTGAGTCCTGCCTCATTAACATAACTGCCTCTAATCCTGCCTCATTAACATCATAGAGGTTAGGATTTACGACGTATAGGATAATCACATCAGATCACAAAATGGTGGACAACCACACAATACTGGGAATCATGGCCTAGCCAAGTTGACACACATTTTTGAGGGGACACAATTCAATCCATAATAGAAAGCAAGAAGCAGTGACTGCCCATCACTTCGTTATGGACTAGGAACACAAGCTGGTGGATCCAACTATGGGTGAATCTACCTCCTCCTATTGGTTCTGCTTCCTAAATGTGTGAAGCCGACTTTGGTCACAATGTTGAATTCTTGGGGGCAGAAGGGGAGTGTTAATGACCAGTTGATGGTTTGAGGCATACCTGTCAGCAATACTTTTATTATTATTATTTTATTGTGGTATAATATATGTAACAAAAAAAGTCCATTTTAACCATATTTAAGTGTACCATTTTGGGACATTAATTACAATCATCACCATTATTGAGTTCCACAAGTTTTTCATTACCCCAAACAGAAACTGAGAAACTGTACCCATTAAACATTAACTCCCTGTTCCTCTCCCCTCAGCCCCTGGTAACCACCAATAAATTTTTGTTTCTATTCATTTGCCTATTGTAGATATTTCATAAAAGTGGGATCACATGGTATTTGTCCTTTTGTGTCTGACTTATTTCACTCAGCATAATGTTTTCAAGGTTCATCCATGTTGTAGCATGCATGGATCAGAATCTCATTTCTCTTTATGACTGAATAATATTCAATTGTATGGGTAGACCACATTTTGCTTATCCATCCATCTGTTCATGGACACTTGGGTTGTTTCCACCTTTTGGCTATTGTGAATAATGCTGCAATGAACATTGGTGTACATGGATGTTTGAGTCTGTGTTAACCTATTGCTGTGAAGCAATAGTGACCCTATAGGACAGGGTAGAACTGCCCCATAGAGTTTCCAAGGCTGAAATCTTTATGGAAGCAGACTGCCACATCTTTCTCCCTCAGAGCAGCTGGTGGGTTCGAACCACCAACTTTTAAGTTAGCAGCCAAGCGCTTTAACCACTGTGACACCAGGGCTCCCACAGCAATACTATTCTTAGTTGACAATTGGTCCCTGGGAAAAACTGTCTTCACAGGTGTCTGTGTCTGGCTTAATGTATTAGTAACTTCAAGCATTCCTCAGTGTCTCACTCTGGGTGATGCTTGTTAACAGCCCCAGTTATTGTTATTTGGAGTCAACGTGTGCTACAATTACTATTTTCCATTATGACTGTGCAATCAATTTAGCACCAACCTTGTTAAAAAAAATCCAGAAAATAAGAGAAAATGAAATAGGACACACGGTCTTTCCATGCCTCAGAACATTTAGTCCAAGGTGACCTCGATTTCTGCAGTTGCGTTGGTTAAATGCTGTCACTCTGCCTTGTAACTTGAAGGAATTACAAATGACAATGTTTTTAAGCATACAGAGCTAAGCTGGGAATGCTCAACACTGTGTCGAAGATCCGAGGGCAGGTGAAAACCACTGGGTACCCACAGACGGAAGGCTTGCTGGGCGACTGTATGCTGAAATATGGGAAGGAGCTCGGGGAACAGTCCGCATTTGGTGAGCACTCACACGTCACCTGAGAATACTTCCCTCATTGGTTTTAGGTTATGCACAAAACCACCATTTTGACAAGCTTTATTATTTTTCATATTACCAAAGCAATGCATGCATGTTCATTGCAGAAAACTTAGAAAACAGACAAGTGGAATAATTGGAAATGTTAACATCACTCCTAATTCCATAATCCAGTGATGTTGTTAGCTGCTGTCGAGTGGGCCCTGACTCATGGCATCCCCACGCGCAACAGGACTATTGCACGCACCATTCCTGGGTGGCACACACTGTCCCTCGCTCGACTACTAGCCAAAAGGTTGGTGGTTCAAACCCACCCAGAGGTGCCTCGTAAGACAGACCTGGCCACCTGCCTCAGAAAGATCACAGCCTTGAAAACTCTAGGGAGCAGTTCTACTCTGCACGCGTGGGGTCGCCATGAGTCAGCAGCGACTCAACAGCAACTAACCACAACAACAGTATACATATTCTTTTGTAACCTGTTTTTTTCCACAATATGTCATGCTCCATATCATAAAGTAATCTTCTAAAATACTATTTTTAAAGGCTGCAAAATATTTGATGTTTGCTCAACCAGGCCCACTTACCAAATATCTAGATATTTTTTCTTTATGTAAAAAAATGTTACGTAGCATTCCTGCTGACCCTTATCATAAGTAAGTCTTTGGGGATGGCTAAGATGATGTTCTTAGATGACATTCTGAGAAGTGAACTTGCTGGGTCAAGAGTATGCCTGTTTTTCAAATTTTTAAAACATATTCCCAAATGCACCTCTAGAAGGGTTGTACCAATTTGACATTCTTTCCAGGACTGGGAGTATGAGAGTATGTTTCCCTACACAGTTACTAACCCTGGGAGTTGTCTTTTTAGTTTACATTTAAATCACTGATAATTTGATATGTAATATATAAAAATGATCTCTCAGTGCTATTTTAACTTCTGTCTCTCTCTCTCTCTCTCTCTCTCTTTTTGGTACTGTGTATGATGTTGCATTTTTTTCATGTTTGTTGTCATTTTTGTGAATTGTACTTTTGTGTCTTTCTCATTTTTTCCTTACTGATTTATGAACTCTTTAAATGGTGAGGATATTTGCTTTTTGTCTGTCTTATATGTAGAGAATGTTTTGTCACAGGTAGGCATTTACCTTCAGACCTCCTATATGGCATTTTAAAGGAGAAAGATTTTTGCTTGTAATATAGTGGAGCTCATCATTTTCCTTTATGGTTTCTGGCTTTGACATGATGTTGAGAAAGACTTTTGCCATCCCACCTTACGCCCCCACCTGCACAAATTATATAAAAGTTAACTTATACATTTTTTGAATAAATTATGTTTCCTTTTCTTTCCTTTAAATTTTCAGGCTCCTGAATTTATTGGACGTACACTGTACAATAGGATTGAATTTTGTTCTATAACAAATAATTAGCCAGTTGTCCTTTATTATAAAGTCCAACCTTTCCTCCCTGATTTGAAGTCACCCTTTTATTATATACTAAATTTTTATATGTTAAGATTGTTTCTGATCTTTTTCTGCTGTTTTCTTGATATGTATATCTGTTTGCTCCAGTTTATATTGTTTTAAGCATTGTAGTTTTAAAATATATTCTATTTTGCTAAAATCTCCCTACTTATTTTATTGCAAAAATTTCATGGATATACTTGTCTCTTTTTCCAGATAAAACTTAGTCATTTTAAGTTCCCCTATTAAAAAAAAACCCACTAAGTTTTGATTGGTATTGCTTTAAATTTATAAATTAAATTGGGGAGAATTGACTTCAATGTATTAAGGGTTCCTGGAGAATTTGACCTGTTTGCTAGTTATGTGGTGGTAATAAGACAGGGAGGTAACTGTTTTTTTTTTTAACAAGACAGGATATGGAAATTGAGAATTCAAATATTTGGCCACTGTAATTAATCTAGGAAATTAGAAAACAATCTTTTGAAAAGTTTTTTTAAATCTCAAATATTAAAACATTAGTAAGTGATAGAGGATAACAGTGTTCTTCAGATCAGTATAACGTGGATTTTATTTTATTCCATGGGTGAATGGGTAGTTGGTGGCCTGTTTCTTACCCTGAAGGCAAATCTGTTGAGGGAACAAGGTAAAACTGCCAGGCAGGCCGTGGAATCGAAGGACATTCCTGCCACATACCTGGCCACAATGACCGGGCAGGGGCTTTGATGGCCAGACAATAACTTCTCAGGAGCCCCGCAACTTACAGGAACGTGGGTTAAGGACGAGAGCTGATGTCAGGAGGGCAGAAAAGGACCAATGTTTGCTGTTCCAAGGAAGAGGCTCTGCTGTTGGATGTTTCTGCTCCGGGCCATATCAGGGAGCCTTCCTAAAGTGAACCCCAGTGGGCAGAGGTTGAGCCCCATGCCCTTGTGGAATTTGACAGTGCACAGCCACCAGTGGAGGTTGTGTGTTGTTATGATGCTGAACAGGTTTCAGTGGAGCTTCCAGACTAAGATGGACTAGGAAGAAAGACCTGGCAATCTACTTCTGAAAATCAGCTAGTGAAAACCCTATGGATCACAACAGTCGGATCCGCAACTGATCATGGGGATGCACAGGACCCAGCAGAGTTTTGTTCTGTTGTGCATGGGGTCACCATGAGTTGGGGGCAGCTCGTTGGCAGCTAACAACAACAACATTTTGGGGCAAGGGGAGTGAATGGAGACGACAACCAGTGTTCAAAATGTAATGTTTGGAGTTTTCAGAGAAACACATTTGAAAATGTTTCTGTCAAAGGTAAACTGACAGTCTGAGGTGTGGGCACTGTCGGCAGAGTGAGAAGTAGGGACAGGTGCAGTATCCCCGTTTCTGACAAGCTGGGCAGGAAGGAGTCCCCAGGCTAGGAAAGACATAAACTCTCCATCGAGGAAAATTTAGAACTAGGCTCTGGAGACTTGAGTTAAGGAAATTTAGTCTCCCAGAAAGAATGAAGCTACCAGTGGGTCAAAATGGAGTCCCAGAGAGCTTTAGTTGAGAGTGACAGTTTCATTTATGTTTTGCAAGGTCCTATAGCACACTGTTTAGTTTCTTTCTTATAAACAAAACAAAACAAAACAAAGAAAACACATGAGGTGAAGCAGGTACTGGGAAAAAAAGTGAGGGGAAGCAGATGTTGTTATCCCTGTTTTACAGGTGAATAAACCCTGTGTGCCTTCACTGGTAGGTGAAATAATTTGAAGGTCAGACTTGGGCTGGGCCTTAAAGTCTTTAATCTGGGAGGTGAAACACTTCAAGTTCCATCTACCTTTTTACAAGATTAGTTTGTGTCTTACTCATCTAGTGCTGGTACAACAGAAATACCACAAGTGGATGGCTTTAACAAAGAGAAGTTTATTCTCTCACAGTTCAGTAGGCTACAAGTCAAATTCAGGGCGTCAGCTCCAGAAGAAGGCTTTGCAGGAAGGTCCATGTCGTCAGTCTTCCCTTGGTCTGGGAGCTTCTCTGCACAGGAACCTCAGGTCCAAAGGACGCGCTGTGCTCCCAGAACTGCTTTCTTGGTGGTTTGAGGTTCCCATGTGTCTCTGCTCGCTTCTCTCTTTTATATCTCAAAAGAGACTGGCTTAAGACACTGTCCAATCTTGTATACCTCATCAGTATAACTACTGCTAATCGATTTTATTACATCATAGTGATTGAATTTACAACACTAAGGAAATCACATCAGATTACACAGCCATACAATACTGGGAATCATGACCTAGCCAAGTTGATACACACTTTTTTGGGGGACACGATTCGGTCCATGACAGTTTGAAAACCCAGAATAAAAGAAAACTAGTTTAGTCTAGTGCAGCGTTTCCCAAGGCTGTCTTCTAGAGAAATACGCTATTTTCATCATGCACGGCAACCAGAACTCCTACTTGCAAATTACTACAGATCAGCTGTGGCTGAGATAAACCAAAAAACCAAGCCAGTTGCCTTCAATGATTCTGACTCATGGTGATTCCATGTGTGTCAGAGTAGAACTGTGCTCTGTAGGGTTTTCAATGGCTATGATCTTTCCAGGCCGCCTCTGGGTGGACTGGAGCTGCCGACCTTTTGAGTAGTACCGGGGGTAATTCCTGGCCAGTGCACCTCGACTGCAGCCCTCACCTGTCTGTCAGTAGAGGCTGGTCAGGTGTTGCTATGATGCTAAACAGGTTTTAGGGGAGCCTCCGGATTAAGACAAACTAGGAAGAAAGGTATGGCAGTCTATTTCTGAAAAATCAGCCAGTGAAAACCCCACGGATCACAATGGTCCCATCCCTTTGTGCATGGGGTTGTCATAAGTTGGGGACCAACTCAACAGCAGCTAACAAAAATCTGGCAAAAGCTGCCCGTTGCTGCCCAAGAAGGCTGGCCTGGGCCTCATTGCAAGAACAGACCCTGTCTATCCTGCTGAAAGAATATTCTGTGTGACATCCTCAGGCTTTCTTTGACATCAGGGAAGGTGGGAAGCCTTAGAACAAGTCTAAAGGATACAAGGAGCTGCCTCAAGAAGATCTGACAGCTAGAAACTGAAAAGAGGTTTCGTTTGCTTATTTCTGTTGTCATCCTTATTAGTTAATACTTACCCCCTGATGAATGAATCCTTTTTTTGTTTAAGAAGAAGGATTTTATTCTTGAGCTTCTAAGGAACCTTTGGTACCAGGAGTTCACAAGAGCACCAGTTTTTTTTTTTTTTTTTTTTTAAGTAGCTTTATCCCCATCTAGTGGCCAAAAATGGTAAGTGTCTCGGTCTGTCAGCCTCAGAATGTCTTGTTTTACACAGTGGTGAAAGTGCAGAAGGTCCTCGAGAGCAAAAATGTAGAAAACAGGGAGACTTTTCTCCTGTACAAACTTTGGAGAAAGAATTAACTAAATGTCACTGCTTTGCTAGCATGCTCTCTTAAAGCACCTTTTTTGTTTTGATTTTCTGTTCCAGGCAGTGCACTGATAGAAGTTGGTGAAGCCATGAAGCTGATGGCTGAGGTGAAAGATTCCCTTGACATTAATGTAAAGCAGACGTTTATTGATCCGCTTCAGTTATTACAAGACAAAGATTTAAAAGAGATTGGGGTAAGTCTTCCAGGCTATAAATATAGCTCTTGCTACATAAGATGTTTATATTTAAAACCATTAAAAGCATTTCTGTAGGGACTTGGTGGTGAAAAAATAACTCAGCTGTATTTATCTGGGCTCAATGGGGGAACATGGGGGCGTAGCGATGGGTGCAATGTGAGACACGTCCCTTCTAGCTTTAAAGTTCTGTATCTTATTGAAGGAAGCAAGGAGCCCTAGTGTCGCAGCAGTTAAGTGCTTGGCTGCTAACTGAAAAGTTGACCAATCAAACTCACCCACCTAGCAGCTACACGGGAGAAAGACCTGGTGATCTGCTTCCATAAAGAGTACAGCTAAGAAAACCCTGTGGAGCGCAGTTCTGCTGTGACTGTGGGGTCGCCATGAGTCAGGGTCCACTGAACAACAACTGGAACTTGTTCCTTCTCCCTGCAGCCTTATTGCTCACCCTCCCCCTACGTGAATTCTGTCCAGGTTCCCTGAACGCGTCGCCATTCCCTGGAAACATTCTGCTTTTTGCTTCTCTATATTGTTGTCCCTCTGCGTTTGCCCCTTCTCCTGGCTAAGTCAGCCCGCTTCTCAGATCTCAGCCCAGAGGTTCTTCTCCCTGGGGAGCTCTCTGATCTCTCCCCACACTTAACTGGGTGCTCCTTCTGTGAGCCCTGGGAGCACCCTGTGCCACGAGCTTCGCTGTTCTTATCAGACTGTAAGTTCCTTGGGGCAAGGAACCATGCTTTGTTCACTGTTGTAGCCACAATGTGTGGCACATGGCTTGTGCTCACACATTGCTATTGAATGAATGATTCTAGAGCAGAAGTGACATTTTGGGTTGGGGGATGCCAAAACATCTTTCCAAAATGCAGGGCCTTAAGAACAAACATCTTCTTTGGTGAAATATATAACATGTCCTTTCTTTCTGTTCTGTCGTCCTTGAGGAAGGCCACACAAAAGGGTGATGTTGGTCTTCCATTAGGCTTGAATGGGGAGGGTAGATAGCCAGGGACATGTGTGTGCATTCTGAGCAGCAAGTCAGAGAAATGTGCAAAATACACTTATTTTTAAATGCTGCAGCTCCCTATGCAGCAGAATAATTTTCTAAATGGAATCTCTTGGTATTCAGCTTGTTTTATATATATATATAT